AAGCCGGGAGGCGGCGGCGGCTTCGCCGCCCGCGGCGGCCCCGGCTCCCGGACGGGTGTACGGGCGCCGCTGGCTTGTGCTGCTGCTCTTCTCGCTGCTGGCGTTCGCGCAGGGCCTGGTCTGGAACACCTGGGGCCCCATCCAGAACTCAGCGCGCCAGGCCTACGGCTTCTCCAGCTGGGACATCGCGCTCCTCGTGCTGTGGGGGCCCATCGGCTTCCTGCCCTGCTTCGCCTTCATGTGGCTGCTGGACAAGAGAGGTGAGCGGGGCCGGGGAGCGCCGGCCGGCGCTGTCACTCCTGGGGGAGCCGGAGCCTGCCCGGTCTCCAGGCCCGAGAGCCGCCTCCCTCGGCTTCGTCTTAGGGATTGTGTGAGGTGACGGAGTGTTGCTGGCATCCCATTCCTCAATAGAACCCTCTGTCCTCAAAGCAACAAATATGGGAAGGCTTCTTTGCAGATACTTGCTTATGTCAGAGCCCATTAGGCAACAGCAAGGATTAAGCGATCTCTGAATGTTCAAGTGTTTGCATATTGTGGACATCAGAGCATTCCTGGGCGGGCACGTGCCATGTATGTTTTTTACGTCTGACAAAAATGACTGATGCTTTGACTTCAAAGGGATTTGGGGATGTTGAGGATGAAAGGTCAGAAAATAGACTGATGATGCCCAGATATAAGGAAGTAATGAGTTGGCTTTGCATAATAGATGACTCCAGCCCAGGAAGAGCTGTTGGGAAACTCGGATCTGACGCTTTGGTTTCTGGAAAATGGTTAACAGCAGCTTTATAGTGTGTATGTGTGCCTAGGTGGTTATGTCAGTTGAGATTTATGACCCTCAGATAAAGCTCCGCAGATGAATGAAGACTCTCTTTTCATAGTGGAATACTCTGGACAGAGGTCTCACCTTACCACTTGCCAGTGTGATTCTGTGAGGAGAAAAAAAATGTCATAGGACTGTATGATAAGACATTGAATTAGACCACACAAGTTTGGGTAAAGGATTCATGATCAATGTGATGTAGCTGGTAGGAAAGGAAGGACGGTTTTAGGCATAGTTGTGTCTAAAACAAGAAGAGAAATAGTCTGATATGCTCTGCTCTAGTGTTCAGTTCTGAGCATTAATTTTAAGAAGGCCATTGACAAACTGGAGTACTTTAAAAGTTGACGAGAATGATAAAGGATGTAAATATCATGATGTGTAAGATGAAGAGAACTGGATGTGTCAAGCTTCAAAAAGAAACTTGAGGCAGAATATAGTTCTAGAAGGAAGAACTAAACTGAGTGAAGTTACAAAGGAAGGTAACTCAAAACAATAAAAGGAAGTATTTCTAACAATGAAAGGCGTCCTTCTCTGGAAGGTGTGTCTTGACTGGTGTCGAACTTCCAGGTAGAGCAAGTATTTATGCAGAGGATGTGTGCTAGATGCTGAGGAAGGGTTTCTTGTACTGACTGGAGGTTTTCTTTGTTTGGGTTTTTTGTTTGCTTTTAAGCTAAATTATAGACTTGATTTGGATTTCACCAGTTTTTCCACTAATCTCTTTTTTTTATTTTCTTGTTCCAGGATTCAGTCTAACAACCAAATTACATTTAGTTGTGATTTCTCCTTAATCTCCTCCAATCTGTGACAATTCCTCCATCATCCTTACAAGGTTGGCTAAATTTAGGGGAAAATGCTATTGTTTGTTTTTATTTATCTTTTTATCAGGAGCATTTTTCAATATTATTCCGTAAATTTAGCCAACGTTATTTTCACAGTAGACAGGTATTAATTTTTACCCTTTCTCTTGTAATTTTATCTTTTATCTGTTACCAAATAAATTAGGGACTACTTATTCACTTTATAAAATAAGTTACTTTAGGAGTTCTTTCATAGTTTCTGTAACTATATGGTGAATTCAATTTTATATTTTCCAGTGGCTGAAACAGTAAAAAATAAATGAAAAAATTATCTTTTAAGGAGTGATTTTCCCTTTCAGCAGGAGAAAGCTGATACACTTTCATCTGTTGGCTGTCCTTCTGCAGATGTCCTATCTGCATACATAGAAAGTGAGTTCCCAGCATCCTGGATACTGAAGTATCTTGCTTCCTGGAGGGTAGATAGTTGCCTGGCTTTCCTGCTGCCGTGGGTCCCAGCCAGCTTAGCGTAGAAGACCAGTTATTTTCCTAAAATAGGTTTTGTACCCTCTCACCCCTTTCATTTTCCAGGAAGGAGACAGAAAAGGACTAGCTAGTGACATAAAAGGAGAGCCAAGAGCGAGTGTGCCCCAAGAAGCCAAGTGAAGAAAGTTTCAGGAAGGAGAAAGCACGTAATCGTGTGCTAAGCACTGGGGAGATAGCCTTCACAGAGCCTGCGTTGTAGTGAGGAGATCCAGGCAACAAACAATAAAATTAATATTTAGTATGTCAGGTGGTGATAAATCCTTTGGAGAAAAATAAAGAGAGCAAGGGAGAAACGGAATGTGATTGCATGGTATTCTACCATATACAGAGTGTCAGGGAAGGCCTTACTGATAAGGTGTGTTTGAGCGGAGGCCTGAGGGAAAAAGGAAGCCCGACTTGTCAGTTCTGGACAAGACTGTTTCAGGCAAAGGCAGAGGTCCTAAACTTGTTTGGCATATCCAAGAAAGAGCAATGAGGCCTGTGCAGCCAGAGGTGAGCCATGAGGGAAACAGTGGTAGGAGATGAGGTCACAGAGGTAGTGGGAGGCTGAATCATGCAGGACCACGGTAAGTGTGTTGGCCATTAAGGAGTTAGGGGGTCTCACTCCATTGGAACTTCGAGCAGAAGAGTACAATGATGATTCTGCTATTGTCTTGAGAACAAGAGCCAAAGCAGGGAGACCAGTTAGGAGGCTAGCAGAATAATCCAAAGGGGGCTAATGGTGACTTCCAACCAGGGTGATAGTAGTGGAGGATCTGAAGAGTGGTTCAATTCCAGATATATGTTGAAAGTACAGTCACCAAGATTTGTAGATGGGTTGGAGGTGGGGTGTGAAGAAAGGGGAAGAGTCTAAGATATTTTTCAACTTTTTAGCATTAGTAATTGGGAGAATCAAGCTGCAGTTTACTGAGATGTGGAAGATTGTGGAAGGAGCAAGTAGACAGGTTAAACTGTCAGTTGGATTTATAGATATGGAGTTCACAGGAGAGGCTTCAGCAATAAATTTGGGATTTGTCAACCTATAATGGTACTTAGAGTCTTGGGGCTGAGTGAGATCACCTTTGGAGAGGGGTATTTCTTCAGAAGAGGACTGAGCCCAGGGGCATTCCGAGGTGTAGAAGTTGGGAAGATAAGGAAGAACCAGCTAGTGAGGACTGGAATAGAGCCTTGGATTTAGCAACATGGAGATTTTTGGCATCGTTCAAAAGAATAGTCTCATTGGAGTGGTAGGAATGAGTTCAAAATAAAATGCAAGGTGTGGAATTGGAGACAA